TTCTAATTGCATGGCAACACAGTCCAATCCATCATGCAATAGATAAATGCGTGGATTGTGTAGCAAATCTGAACCCGTTCATCGCATTCAACTCAGCACATGAAAAAAGTCTATCTGCTGTCTGCCTTATACATCAATCAAATGGCAAATAATTTTAAACATTACGAAGGGGAGGCAAATAATAGGTAGCTGTTTACAAATAATGCAATGATTATACAAAGACATATATCTCCTGCGAAGGCCGGCACGCGAGGTCGCTCTCCAGAACCACGTCTGACCACCTTCTCTCCCCAGTGGCGATGTTTACACACTGCACCAGGCACTCATTTGAAGCTGAGTCGACCTAAGGGAGGCCCAAGATCGGTGCAGATAATTGTTACTGGTGTTGGCCGTGAGCAGGAATCAAACTCGGGTCCCGCGGTTCGGAGCACAGCATGCCAACTGCTACACTACCGCTTCCCCATAATGATTATACACCCACCCACCGCATGATGTAAATAGCCAGGCTGAATATGTATTTATGTTAAACTTCTTTCGCACCGCATGTAGCCAACTGTGCCAATCGGAGTTGCGGGGGAAGGACAACAAACTAACACACCAAAAGCAGTTCTAAAGAAATGAGTTTTCAATTTACATGACTTAAAAGTGTACAGCTCCACTGGTTTCCTAATATGGGAAGGAAGACTGTTTCGGATGGCCGCAGAAAAAAGTCTCATAAAAACAACAAAAAACTAATCGTGTGGCCGACAATATGGGCGTTATTTTTGTATCACGTGAATCAGAAGGGGAATGCTATTTCAGACACCAGGGGCCAGGACAAGGCAAAGGCCCACCCGCCACACGGAGGCCGGCAGGAGGGCCCCAGAGCGAGGGCTGCGCTTAAAGTAATAAAATCACACCAAGCTAACTGCGCAAAAATGTGTCCGGGTAATTGGTTTAAAACTCGCTGCAGTTCAGACTATAATTACTGTGCAACAAACCTTCCCAGGTACACCCGGACAATAACTACTTATCACAGTAACAACGTGCGATTGGCAACAAAGCACTGCCCTGCCTCTTAAAGCCCCAGCTGCACTTGATCAACGGTTTCAATCGAGTGATCCCTTGAAGCCCTGGGGAGGGATTAAAGTAGGAGACATGGCCATTCACTGTTCACCCCCCCCCCACACACAAACTGACTCGTGACCCCAAACCCACAGCTCCCCGCCCTGCGACCCTCCTGCACGCAGGGAGCCGGGAAACTGGTGATGAATCGCGACAGGCCGAGCCATGCATGGGGCTTTTTGCGCCCCCTTTGAAGAATTTCCATTCAGGTAGGGAGCGAGCCGCCTTCGGAACCAAAGACAAAGCGCTGCAAACATATTTTAATTAACATGTAAATAATTTCCCTGCCGTTTAATGGAAAAAAAACGATAAAGCTCTTTTAATGTTGGCTTAAGCACCAATGTATGAAGCTGAACGACTCCTCCTTCACGTCCAAAAGGGATGTTCATATTCTTTAGAGCTTTCGGTAATGTCACGTAGATAGGTTGAAAGAAAATAACAAAAAACTACGACGTTTCGATCAAAACACAATTGATCGTCATCATTTCCTCCTGATGACGACCGCTTGTGTTGCGATCGAAACGTCGATTTTTTTTGTTATTTTCGTTCAACCTATCTACGTGACTTTACCGAAAGATCTAAAGAATATGAATTCTTGCAGTCACGAAAGCTTTAAGTCATGATGTTCATATTGTTTTCACTTTATAAAGAAAGAGTATTGATTCCACAAACGCAACAGGATAAATCACAATCGCAAACACATTCTTCGGTAATTTATGTATGCCCAAGAATGCAGGAGACACCACAATAAAATGAAACACGCCCAGGAACGAAACAAACGCTCCAAGATAAAGTGACCCGTCAACGCCACTGCATCCACGCTTATCTGACATTCTAAACACGCCGTCCCTCTCGGCGAAGTCGTGTGGAACGAGTTCGTGGACAACGCGGTTGCTTCGACACAGCTGAGAGGCGTGCCATTCCGGGAAATCCGCATGCCCTCCTGCTGATTGATCCCACCGGTGGATTTCACGCGACACCAACGCCGCCTTTACCTTCCCACCTCAACAACAGAGCCCTCGTCAAAACCAAGGGGCATCGTGCACTTGGGCTCCGCTGGCAGCAATCGGCAGTCCACCAGACGCCTCTCGCTGGCGGGAGTCTTCGACGTTTCGGCAGAGATTTGCGCACGGCAAGCAGAGCTGGGTGGAGCTCGGTGGAGCTCGGTGAGCATGGTGGAGCACGGCGAAGCCGCGAGGGTGCACAGGAAGAGAGCGAGATGGCAGTGGCACGGCGCTGGAGACAGCAGCCGGCCCTAGTCGAGTGCCCGGCTGTGATTGAGGTGGACTGGGAAGTCTCATCTCGGCGGGAACGAGCTCGCGGCAAAATCCGAGCTCGTCGGGGGGGGGGGGGGGAGACGGGACGACACACGCACAGGAGTAACCGAGGCTTCACCGGGGCGGGCCGAGCTAGCGTGTCGCGTGCGGGGCAATGTCGCAGCGGCAACAACATCGTCGTAGACTACGCGCCGGGATCCGACCGCGCTAAAGCTCGCAGGGCTGCCGACTCGCGTCCTCGTGGATTCCTGCCCATGAGACGGGGCAGCGTGGCCGACTTCTTTCTTCTCCTCATCGCAAGGTGACAATGAAACCAAAGGTGTCGTCGGGTGGGCCATCTGGTTTCATCACAAGGATGGACATTTTACCAGAAGAATCTACGTGACGCGACATACAATTCTCATTGCTTCAGCACAACTTCTTAGCCTTAGTTCAGAAACGATGAACAATGGGAGGGGCTTCAAACTCCCATTCGCATCACCTGGCCTTCTTGGCACCCCTGGGAGTAATTGTGAAATGATGTGGCCCTGTTGGCCTGCACAGTTTCTGGGTGCCAATGGTGACGTTTTTGGTCAAAACGCGGTCGTTGTAAATGGGGAAATTTTTGTGTCTGGAAGTGATCAGTGGGAAGGCACCACCAGGCTGGTAGCTGCGACAGCGAGACATGAATGTTGTGCAACCTTTAATTAAATTCACGTCTGTTCGTGTGCACATTCACACCAGTATATCAGCCAATGCATACATACATAGATCAACCAGCTAATTACAAATAAAAAAATAAATAACAAGAATATGTTGCCCAACAGGGCCAATGTCGGACTCTTCATTGCACTGGCAATGATGCTCTTGGCAGGAAGAACAGTATCCCCACATGCAAATGATAAAGTCTGATATCCCAGTACGCCAAGTGGATGAGCTTCTGCAAATGTTTGTTTTGAAAAAAAAAAAATCACTTTATAATTAATAAAAGGCGAGGCCAAAACAGATAATACGGTCAATATGCATGACAACCATTTTCACAGAAATTCCCCCCAAAAAAGTTACCTAACCAGCAGGTGTGCACAGGTGAGATACATTTCCACATTTGCCAAACTCCTTACGACGGTGAATGAGTTTCGATGACTGTTGCAGGCAACACACACACACACACAATATCCACTTGCTGGAAACATGACGCTACTTCTGCATAACTCTACATATGAACCTTATGGCGGTACTGGAACCCCAGCTCTCGCATAATGTCCGTGATGCAGTCATTTGTAGTCTGTTCATGGTCGGCGATGCGGCAATCGACTCATCTCGACGAGCTGTACACGATGCACTATTCAAAGTAAAAATTTTCGATAACGGATTTTTTATGAAAACTAAATCCGTTATCAACATCACGGAGTAGCGCTGATTTCTGATTGATTGGTACCCCAGTCGCGGAGTTAAGTAACACACCTGGAAAAAAAGTGTCCCAGAAATAAAATATTTAATTGCCTCGGCCATTCTGTATTATTTGCTACTCCGGGGTACCGCCATAATGATCATTTACTCGCTGCTGCTGCAATGAGGGTGGTCATTAGTGTGGATGCTCGGTTGAAGAGGAGGGGGAAGTTGGGTCGTGACTGTGGCTGTGCCAGACACTCCGGGCATTTCCTTCACAGTCCCATGCTCTGAAGCTGAATGGTTAAACTACAGCGTCATTATAAATCCACTCATTGTGTCGCTCACTATAAAATAAGCATTGTATAAGTGGCACTTATTCAAATAAAATGCATTCTACGTGGAAAATTTAGAAGGTGGATCAAAATAAATTTTTTAAAATGTGTCAATCACGAACAGGATAAAAGGTATTTATCCATCGTGTGTTTGTCAAGTAAATGCATTTGGGACAAGTGGATACACTATGTGTGCCAAGTAAAGTCAGGATGCTATTGAAAGATAAAGCGCATGAATCATACTACACAATACCTGTAGGAGCTGACGCAATTCCATATTGTAAACGCTACACTACTCAACTTTAAATGTTTTATTCAACTTCAATAATGTTGCTTTCAAATAACTTACAACAATTCTTGCTGCTGCTGATGCCGTTGGCAGTGGTGCACCAGCACAGTGAACATAACAAAAAAAACCCCAACACACTCGTCAATAAAACAAGTGCGTGGCCACAAAAGGAAAATTATATAATCGGTGTCGTTAGGGGCAATGGTCCTTCGACACAACGCACAAAGAGGCCAGGGAGGGCAATAACAGAGGAACAGCACGGTCAATATCAAATAAATGTCATTCTTTTTCCTTCGTGTTAATGGGAATAGTGAGCGTTCATGCCTCCGCTAACAATGCCATCATCTGTGTAGGGCCGCACGTGCTTTAGGAGATTATTTGTATGTGTTGGCAGAGTTTCAGGATGTGCTCATGTTGTATGCTCTATTCAAACGTACAGCTTGCATGCTGTAAAGTGAGAGTATTACATTACCATTAAGAAGCACAGGAACGAGACGAGCAAAAGTGTAAAAATTAGGAAAAATTTTCGGAACCTTACACATCCCATAAAGAAAACGTCGGGTGGCTCAGAACCAAGAGCTGCCACTTTGCGCTATCTGGTCAGAGGTTACCCAGCGGTGCGGTTACCTGTACTTGCGTTAGCAGTGAGCCAGTGAGTGGGCGGTGGGGTAGTGGTAGGGCCCGCACCGCTGGGCTCGCTGCTGTGGGCCTCTGTCCCCAGGGTTGGGGTCCCGCCCTGCCCCTGAGTGGTGGCGAAGGTTTCCGCTGCAGGCGTTGGAGGAGCCTCTGTGGCGACGCTCGATTTCTGCAGGCTCCTGCTTGCGGAGGAGGTGGCAGGTGCGAGCGAAGGACCTAGAGGTCACGCTCGCCAAGGTGGTTCCCACGCCGACCTGGGCTGAGGACGACTGACTGCGTCTGAGCGGTGGACATCTCAGCCTGAGCGGTGGAGATCGCAGTCGGAGCGGTGGACACCTCAGCCTGAGCAGTGGAAATCGCAGCTGGAGTGGTGGACACGATCGGGGCCAGCGTTGTGGTCGTCTTCTTTCCACGGAACAACCAATCCCACTGTGCAGATGCCAGTGGAGCAGCACATCCCAGCAACAGGACGGCGATGCACAGTAAATTCTGCCTCGCCATTATTGTCAACGGAGAATCCAACAAGCGGACGGAAAGGAGATGGTGCTTTTTTTTTTAATCTTCCCCTTGTGCTATTTGAGACTAACACGAACTTAGAAGAGGTAGCGCCCTAACCTTTGTGGCATTCTCACAACAGCGAGAAGATGAAAAGCCACCGGCTCATGTCACAGAGACACGTGGGGTTGAATAAATCCCAGAATACTTTGGAGGTGTCAATAAAAAAAAAACACAATCTCCCCGACACACCGGGTTACAGCAGGAAAATCCGCAGCGGCGGTCACGTGCGACCGGCAAACGTCGTGGAGAGCTCACGGACTCGGGGTCACGCGTCACGCTGCCAGACCCCCCTCTCTGGAATTCCAGCCAGAGTAGTTGGGACGATGACAAAAGTTATCCCAGCCGCTTCTCGCCGTATTTATGTAGAGAGAGGGGAGGTGGGGCGGTGGTGGTGGGCGGCGGTAGAGACCACGCGCACAGCGGCCCCGCACTCAACGCGCGGGGGCCTCCTCCTCCTCCTCCCCAGTGGCCGGCTGATCTCACGGAGCCAACAACCTGCGCGCTTGTCCAATCGCACGGTCGGGCACGGCCTGCGGTGCTCTCTGCCCGCCCGCCCGCTCGCCCCCACCCCACACAGCCAGGCTCCCCCTCCAGCCACCACCGTCCCCTGCTCGTGAGCAACACCCCACACACTGCGCCCCCCCCCTGCATGACTCCTGCACGAGTTAACCATTAACAGCGGGCTCGGGGCTTCCTGCGGGGGTAGTGGGGGGGGGGGGTTCACGCGTTCAGAGATCGAACTCGGGTATGAACCAATGGGGCTAAGAGCTCACAGCCTCCACGCGGCCACACGTGAGACCTGGGGTGAGTTCACTCCCTCCACATGAGTGAGACCTGGGGTGAGTTCACTCCCTCCACATGAGTGAGACCTGGGATGAGTTCACTCCCTCCACACGAGTGAGACCTGGGGTGAGTTCACTCCCTCCACATGAGTGAGACCTGGGATGAGTTCACTCCCTCCACACGAGTGAGACCTGGGGTGAGTTCACTCCCTCCACATGAGTGAGACCTGGGGTGAGTTCACTCCCTCCACACGAGTGAGACCTGGGGTGAGTTCACTCCCTCCACATGAGTGAGACCTGGGGTGAGTTCACTCCCTCCACACGAGTGAGACCTGGGGTGAGTTCACTCCCTCCACACGAGTGACGAGTGAGATCTGGGGTCAGCTCACTCCACACAGCCACGAGTGAGACCTGGGGTGAGTTCACTCCCTCCACACGGCCTCGAGTGAGACCTGGGGTGAGTTCACTCCCTCCACACGGCCTCGAGTGAGACCTGGGGTGAGTTCACTCCCTCCACACGCGTGAGACCTGGGGTGAGTTCACTCCCTCCACACGAGTGAGACCTGGGGTGAGCTCACAGCCTCCACACGAGTGAGACCTGGGGTGAGTTCACTCCCTCCACACGAGTGAGACCTGGGGTGAGTTCACTCCCTCCACACGAGTGAGACCTGGGGTGAGTTCACTCCCTCCACACGAGTGAGACCTGGGGTGAGATCACTCCCTCCACACGAGTGAGACCTGGGGTGAGCTCACTCCCTCCACACGAGTGAGACCTGGGGTGAGCTCACAGCCTCCACACGAGTGAGACCTGGGGTGAGTTCACTCCCTCCACACGAGTGAGACCTGGGGTGAGTTCACTCCCTCCACACGAGTGAGACCTGGGGTGAGATCACTCCCTCCACACGAGTGAGACCTGGGGTGAGCTCACAGCCTCCACACGAGTGAGACCTGGGGTGAGATCACTCCCTCCACACGAGTGAGACCTGGGGTGAGTTCACTCCCTCCACACGAGTGAGACCTGGGGTGAGATCACTCCCTCCACACGAGTGAGACCTGGGGTGAGTTCACTCCCTCCACACGAGTGAGACCTGGGGTGAGCTCACAGCCTCCACACGGCCACAAGTGAGACCCAAGAAGCGGTGGATCCAGTGAATCCAGCTTCCCTGGGTCTCTGAGACGCAACCGCCGCGGGACAACACAACCTCGTCTCTCCAGATCTTGATAAGGTGCTCGCCTTTCCGACGGCGTGCCCAGAATTCTGGTGCCTTAAAGAGGCCACATTCCCACACGCAATAAAGAACCGCAGCTATGCGACGTCATATTCTAGAGAGTCACATTGCAGTCGTGTGCATGCTGCGCATACTGGGGTCAAGAAGTAGTAAACGCGCATTAGACTGCGTCGCATTCACACGCACACACACGGCGCACCTTTGCACTGTTAACCCGAACGTCAAAGTGTGCACACAAAACAAGAGTTCGTTCACATGGTTTTAGTGTCCGCAGGTGTTTCTGGCGTCTTCGGAGGCATTTCATGAATCCCAACCGATGCGCGAGCAAAAGCGCGAGGGGCATTAAAATAGCCGCGACACAAACGGAGAGAGCGAGTCCGGAAACATTTCCACGGACAATCTGCTTCCTCGCGACGAACACGAATGACAGCGATATGGACATTGCCAGCGCGCTCTCCTGGGCGGCAGGGTGGTGGCGGAGTGGTGAAACTCGCGACTCAACGCGGCACGCAAGGGCCTGGGTTGTATTCCTGACTCTGGCGCCTTTCTGTGTAGACTCTCCCCCTGTTCTTGCATGGGTTTCATCCGGGTTCTCTCATTTCTTCCCATGGCTCAACACACACAAAACATCAACCCCATACACGATGTAACTGGTACTGGCCAAAATTTCTGAAAAACTTACCTGCAAATTACTCATTTGCGATTACGCACAGAAACAGCAGCGACATCGCCCCCTTACTGCAAAAAACTTGGCAGGACCCTCCTGAAAAAGAGTCTTGAGACTCAGTGAGGATCTTCTGGGTAAAACAGCGTAATAAAATAAAATAAAGCAACCTCATATGCTCCGTGCTTACATCAAATGCCTTGCCACCAATGCCCGCCCGCAGCCCAGTTGGGTACACAAACATACACACAACACAAACAAGCGAGTGGAAAGCCACGCATGTCGAGATAAAAGCGCTGCTAATGTCCAATGCGGAGTGGCGAGAGGCCGCCCAGAGCGCTCGGCAGTAGACACGTGGGTGAGCTGCGCTGGGGGCTGTCTCCACGTGAATGTAGGTCAAGGCAATGTCCTCTCCTCTCCACACGCCCTCCACCACTGCCGAGTACACCTCTCCCAACACAGCACCCTCTTGCTGCTGTTGCCAATGCACTCGTGGTGTCACGAGGAAGAGCAGCCGCAGTGGTGCGACGCTCAGCACACTGGACTTGCAATCCCAGAGGGTGCCGGTTCGATTCCATCTCCGGGCGGCGGAAGTTCAAAGGATTGGGCGAGTTTTTTTAAATCCCTCCCCCCCCCCCACCGCCTCTGTCCACCCAGGAGTATAAACGGGTTCGCCAGAGTCGATCGGCAGGCCGCGTGCGGTGGAGGACGTGTTGGTTAGCGCGAAGGGAAGATCAAATCACCCCCTGGAGCTTGCTCGAATGGAGGCCCTTTTGCCAGCAGTCGCCTAAGCAATTGCAGAGGCGCGCCTTAACCGAGGAACAACGGCAAATGTACCAGGCAAATGTACCACGCAAGCGTGGCTTGTCCTTTCCCGTGAGCATCAAACTATCCGTTCCTTTCTGGCATTCCACTGGAAGCGATTACCGTGTTGCTCACTTCCAGGACCGGCAATCGATTCTGAAAATGGTTACCGGTTGGCAACCCCCAAATGTGAGTTTAGCACCTGCATTCTCGAGAGAAGGTCACACGCGGCTGGCAAGTGAGGTGTGCCGACCAGCTGGCAGGCCACCACTCCGCATGGCCGGCCACTGGGCGGTGTTAGCTTCCGCCAGGCGGTGGCGATGCCAGGCCAGGTTGGCACGATGCAACTTGCTGGAATGCACATCATGCCCAATTTCTGCCAAGAAACATCCTCCCCCCCCCCGCCTCCTCTGCATGTGTTAATTCATCAGTGACTGGAAAATTATGTTTCCTATAGGACGCAAATATCTTTGGAGGTATGTCATGCATGCATATACAGTTTCAAAACGATAAATCTCATTGTATATTATATACAGTCTGTTTGAATTCTCACCACTCTTCACCAACCGTACTAATTCTAAAAAATGATCGGTTTTCATACAATCAGCCCTATATAATGTAATAACCCTGACCGAACTGAGATATCCTGTTGATCCGGTGCCACTTGGGTAACCAGTGCCAGCGCATTACCTTCTCTCTATACTACCCTTTATTATTAGTCCACTTATTTAACCACGAAAGTTACATTGAGACTCAAGGCTCTTTTTCTGGCGCGTCCTGCCAAGTTTTTGCAGTCGTGGGAAAACGTTGCTGTGTGAAATCCCAATTGAGTATTTTCCAGGCAATTTTTCATAATTGGGATGTTTTGGCCAATACCAGTGACATCTTGTCTGGGGCTTTTTATTTTGTTATGGCAGGAAACTGGAAACAGGGGGAGAACAGATCAACTCCACACAGAAATGCGCCGCCAGAGTCAGGAATCAAACCCAGGTCCTTCTTGCTGTGAGGCACGACTGCTACCACTGCACCATCACCCTCCAGCCCGATAACGATGTTAAAGACCTCAGCCTTTGCGGAGTGCTTTTACATAACAAACATCTTACAATGTAGAATTTGTGACATAACTGTTTTACATTCAGAACCCAAATCGGCTTTCAGGATAACGCCAGTGGCGACCGTGCGTTCCATTTCCATTTCGGAAAAAAAGGTCACGTGCCAAGAGGTGACACGTCAAGCAGCAACGCCTCTCTTCATCAAATCCCTCCAGGGAATTTGCTGAACCTGTTCATCACAATAAACACTGATGGCTGAAACTCTCCACTGCCACAGTCTATAGGGCCCCTGTGCCAGGCCGAGACAAAGCCTCTGTTATGGCTGCTTCACATTCCAATATGACTGTGCAGTACACTCTAACAATTGGGTCATTTCACTTCAACTCCGCAAAAATCCGACGCGCCATCTTCGTGTTACGTGCAGGTGCAGAGATGCAGTGCTACGCCTGCCCCGTCAACATCTCTCATCTTTCCTTGACGGAAGCGTAAGCAGAGTCCTTATTGTGGCCGCGTGATATGCCAGCCAAGTGGCATCGTGGCAGACCACTTTGACTTCCAGTCAAGAGGTTGTGAGTTCAAATCCCAGTCGGCGGTCAACAACATCTGTCGTCCCTGTGGGATCAATGGAAAGCGTGGCACTTTGTGGGACGTCTACAGGGGAGGTACTTGTCCCAACCACATGAATATTGAATTCCCACCTCTGGTTAAAAATAATGAGACGTTTTTGATCGAGCGTACCCTTCATGCCTGAGCACCCCAGAGAGCTTTACGCGCGATAAGTGACTTGCATTTCATCTCAAACATCTGAAAGGGTG